GATGTGGAGAAGTCCTTGGCAGGTCAGGACCGGCTGCGGGTGATTTTCTTCCTGCCTTGGCTTCTCTCCTCTGCATCCTGCTCCCTGGTCCCGGCGTCCTGAGCTTGGGGAGGGCTGGGGGAGGAGGCCCAAAGCCCACAGCTTCTCCTCACTTGGAGGGCAGGACAGTGCAGTGGGCCCCGTGGGGTTGGGACCAGCAGTGCCTCTATGTTGTGGACCTGGAGACAAGACCAGGACGGGGAGGGGGACCTCCCAAGGTCACACAGCTGGCCGGTAGCAGGGAGAGGTTTTGAGCAAAGGCTGTCTCCTCCCAAAGCCTGCACTTCCGTCTGATGAGAAAGGTGGGCGAGGGGCTGAGGACAGCCAGACCCAGGGACGCTATAGGTGGGCTCTGGCTCCTCTGGGCCGGGCCGCCCTGTCCATCTCCTCCCTGGTGCCCTGGCAGGAATGCCTGTGGGCACTCTCCTGGGCCTAGGCCTTGTCCCGGATGGAACAGGTGTGGCACTTGCTTGCCCAGGTGAGGGCGGTGATGGCCAAGCATCCCTCCTTCCTTCCACAGGCGGCGGAGGCAGCGAGTGCCTCCAGGGCCAGCTGTTCCTGCGGGGGGGGGGGGGGAATGAGCTGGAATTTGGGGCCTCAGCCCCCCTCCCCACCAATGCCTGCATCCCTCACCAGCTCCATGGGCCTAATGAGCTCCCTGCCGTGTGATGCCTTCCACATTCACCTTTTTCTCTAATGAGCCTCAGTGGGCGAAGCTGGGCTCCGTCTCATTGGTTACCCCCACCCTCCCGTCAGGAGGCCACGGTGGGGCTATTCCCCATCTGGGTCCAGACTCAGCTCCCCGAGGCCCACGGCGCCTGGACCCAGCCCCGGGGAAACCCGCCCCTCCGTCTCGCCCCCGTGAAAAATCCAGAAACAGCAAAATGAAGACCACAGGTCCATCGGCGGGATGCAGCCGCGTGTCCCGTGCCTGTAGAACGGCTGGCAGACGGGCCCATCACGGGCACCTGCCTTCCGGGTGAAGCCGCCGACCCCGCAACGGTTCTGATTTCCACGCAGGCAGTGGGCTCCCGCGACACCTCATTGTCAGGAAGTAGCCCAAGTGTTGCTTTTGTTCATGAAATAAGCCGGGTTAGTTTTGCTTTTGTGGCTCATGTGGTTTTGTCTGTCGGTTCAGGGGCTCAGGGAATTCTCAAGTCTGGTCTCTATTTTTTTTTTAATCTGTTTTTATTGATTTCAGAGAGAGGAAGCGATAAGGAGAGAGAGAGAGAGAGAGACATTAATGAGGGAGAGAGAATCATTGATCGGCTGCCTCCTGCACGCCCCACACTGGGGATCGAGCCCCCGCAACCCGGGTCAGTGTGCCCTGACCGGGAATCGAACCCTGACCTCCTGGTTCATAGGTCGATGCTCACCCACTGAGCCACACCAGCTGGGCTCTATTTTGTATTTCATGTCAACACCTCCTAGCTGGTCCTGCAAGTGCAGGGATGATACAGAGAGAACTGTGAGCTCCCCACGGACCGGGGGTGTGGGGAGGAGGGCAGCTTGAGGACTGACCGCCCCGGGTGGGGGGTTGCTGGGGCCTGGACGGATGAGGCCGTGCACGCGAGGGGTGGCTTGGAGATAGGTGTCAGCTGTAGAGACTCCAGGGGTTGCAACAGGGACCTTGAAACTCAGCCGGGCCTGCCCCAGAGGTCAGGCACCAGCCCGCCCCCCTGGCTTCACCTGCCGCCTTCCCCTGCTCCCAGGTGGGACCCCAGTACAATTCCACGCGGGGATTTTCCAGTTTGGCAT